GCCGCGTCCTGCCCGCCCGGCCGGGTCGGGGGGACCAAAATGGAGGGGCGCCGAGGCGCTTTGTCTTCCCGGGGCTCGCCTGCGCCCCGGGCAGTTCAGCCCGTCAGCCCCAACTTTTCCCACAGCGCTTATGTTCCCGAGCCGTTCCTACCCCCTGATCCCCTCCACGCTCCCGGTGCAGTGTTGGGACCAGCCGTCTGTCCTGTTTCCCCTCCCCATGAGCTCTAAGGAGATGCTTAATTCAGTATTATTTTTGTGGGGAAGTGTTTAACAAATCCTGGGGTTTTCTCTTGCTTTTCACACGCGCATGTGGGGTCTGTGCTTGGCTGTGGTAGTCGTGGGGCTCTGGAAATAAGACCTGACGTGTTTAAAGAGTCTGCTGAGGCAGCTTTTCAGAAAGTCGGCACGGGACTTGCATGTTTTTCGGCATATCGTGGTGTGGTTTGGTTTGCTGCTTGTGTTAATGCTACCATGGGACTTTGGCTCTTAATTTGTAACATACGGTGGCTTCTTAAGCGTGAAGAGAGGGGTTGGGTTTTGGAGTTTCAGTCTGTGGAGGGGCTTATTGTCTCGCCTGGATAGTGCTTGGGGTTGAAAAGAGTCACGTAGGAGTTCCTAAATCAAGGGGGAAAACCTAGAAGCTGCAGAGGACAGCGTCAGCATTATCCCTTCGATTTGGGGGATCTGCACTGGACTAGAATTGCCCTGATTTAGGGCAAAAGCCTGAGAAGTATCCGGTGACAGATTTTCTTCCAGGCATCAAGGAAAATCGTAATTATTCAGAGAAGGAAACTAGCCTGATCCAGCCTCATTTCACGTCTGGCAGGGCAGGCATCTCGTCTGGACTCATGCTGGAAGAGCTTGGTCAGGGATTTAACTTTTTTCCATTTGGCACAGAGTCATCTGAGATGTTGCTGAGACAAATGGTGAAGAAATGTCTCTCAGCTGTATTACACCCTTCTTACAAGGTTTTGCTTGTGTAATTTGGCTTGACTTGGATAGCAAAAGGTCAGGCAGAGAAACAATAGTGCTGCCCTAGAAATTATTTGTAGTTCAAAATCTTACATTGTGGGATTATTGAACTAGAATAAGTAAAAGTAAATGGGACTTTTCCTCTGATCCATTTTGGAGTTTGCCTGGTACCCATTTAAACTGCCCTGGTTTAAATTATTTAGAGGCTTCCCTTCATAAGTGTGGACCAGGATTTTCCTGAAACTCTAGTTGTGTGATTTGTAGATGTCAGGTCCTGTATGTTGTATGTTTGGTGATCTAGTAATCCAGGCTCAATTTTACTGCAGGTGTTGGTTACAATTCTTACTTGATTTTCCCCTTGCGTAACTGGTGCAATTTGCTCGAAGTTTAAGTTGTTAATATCAAAAACATAGAATAAGGTAGCCTCAGAAAGAGATGGGAATGATTTCCCTGGCGTGGAGTTTCAGAAGGGAGTGAGATGTACGTCAGTCTGTTACGTTCTTACCCAGCTTATACTGGCTTTATGCGTTGGAAGGAGATGAGAGTTGGTAAATCAGGCTTCAGAGGGTTTACTGACAAGATCTTTTAAGAGGTGATTCGTGCAACTAAAGGTGCTACCTGAGGTTGCATCAGCTGCCAGAACTGAAATTAAATTTTTTCCCTTATTGACGTTTCAGCAGAGACTTGGGGAATCCTGTGATTCTTCCAACATTTGAAACAATTACCAATGCTAGTAACCTATGATTGTGCTTTTATTTTTGTTTCTTATTAGATGTGTGTTACATTTTTGCCAGACAGAGTAAGAATGGATTGACCTTTGTGAGAGTTGTCATTTTTATACTCCTTTTCCAGAAAAGGCAAAATGCTACTGCATTTCAGCAAACGTTGCATTTTGGATAGAGCACTAAACTGTGTGAATTACTGTGCAAATGCCATTCTCCTCGGCTGCTTAAATTTTACCTGACTCACCCTTTCTCTGAAATTAAGGTCTGGCTAGGTAGGTGACAGGACTGAACTTCCAAGGAGGAGATCTGTGTGGTATTAAATGGAGGAGAAAAAAAATAATGTAAGAATTCACATCCTATTTATATTTGGAGCAAGAAGGAAAATATTTTCAGTGCAGTTCTGGTAGGACAACTGCAGTGTTAGCTACAGAGTCTGTTGTGCCTGTGCCAGAGCTCTGTTCTAAGTGATACTCTTTTCAGACAAGGTTGTGCATGGATTAAAATCGTGCTCAAGCATGAAAACACTGCAAAATCTGTTTTAATAATCAGCTTACTCACAAACTGAGTTGCCCAAATCCTTGTGCAAGCTTTAATTTTTAGAGTGTTTTGGTATTTCATTCCAGTTGTCCTGAAACTAGAGTAGGTTTTGTAACAGTTAACAAGTATGGCAGGGTGTATTACCCCTTACTTTTTAAAAATAACAAACCAAAGGAGACAGTTAATGAAGCATTTAAAATCAAGGAGAAAATACAGTTAAGCAGGTATTTGTGGTTTATAACATGCCTTAGCATTGCACTGTTGGAAGACACCAGGAGAGCTGTGCCAGTAGTGCATCTAGTCTAAGTTGAGGTAAAGTGAAGTGCTTAAAGGGTGAATAATATTCTTCCTTCTGTTCTTAATATAAGGCATTGATAATATATTGGGGAGGGGGGGTTACTTTCTGTCCTGAATTTGCTGATCAAATAGCATTTTTCCTACTCTTCTCCCAAATAGTTTATATTTGCCTACCCCCATTGGGCTAGTTGGCTGAAATTATTAACTTGTTTTTTTTAAAGGGCCTGGAAGTATGTATTTAGTTTCTGATTCTAAGGTAAATATTTGAAGAGTCTTTCTTGCTCCAAATGCTGATAGTACACAGCCATTTGGTACTGAAATGTCGTAAGTCCCATTGTTAGGTAGCATTGTTCTCAACCCTGGAAAGCTGTTCAGTGAAAACATTGAACATTCAGATTGTGTTCTGTAATTGAATTTTTATTTGCTAGCTTCTTTACTACTGATGGTTGTGTTCTGCCTGGAACAATTTCATGAGTACAGGTTGTCTAATTTTGTCATTTATAGTAACTGTACTAACAAGCTTCACGGGAATAAGGTTTTTGAAGTACAGTAAATACAGTATCCTGCCCAGAGTATTGAAATGTTTCCTAAGTGTCCTTGATTGTGGATAAAGGCTCAAATATTTCTGGAACTCGCTCACTTCACTGAGAAATAAAAAGGGGCGAACAGGAGAGCGAATTACTGTCCTTCTAGGAGGAGGGTTGTAGGCACTGAGTAACTTCATGGTTCTGGCTGTGTGTGCCTTAAGTCACAACTGCCAGTAGACAAGGCGATGCTAGAAAAGCTCCCTGGAAGATAAAAATCCAGTGGCATCTGTTTAGTCATGGAAAGGGTTCCAGGAAATGGCAGAGTTCCTGCTGGGCTCCATGTAAAGAATGAGTGACAAATCCCAGCATTCTCTTGAGTGTGAGCATGGCTTCCTTTCTGTGCCAGGTCAGATGGCTTTCCTGTCACTTGAGCCCCTCACCCGCTTCCTCCATCCAGTGTGTTGGCAGCTTTTCACAGAGAAGTAGGGTCTGGTTTGAAAATGGAGTTCATAGTAGCATAGCTACCAACCAAGATTCAACTCTACTAGTCTTACCGTGCTAACTATAAATAACAGGGTAAAATATCACAATTCCAACATAAATAAGTGGAAACCAAGTTGAAATATGCTTCTGAAATTCTTTTCTGGGCTGCAGCCTCTGCAAATGCTATTAAGGGAAAACTAAGTCATGAATGGAGGCTACTTTGGATAAAGCCATGTGAGGCTAGAATGGTGGTAGCCATTCTGAAAGCTGAAATACTGGTTATTGCACTAAAATCAGCAAAAAGACTCTAAATCCTCAAACTTTGCTGTTTATACACCCACAGATTTCTATTCTTGGTAAAGCCTGTTGTATAGCTGTCAAGGAGATATTCTCTCTAATTTGCTTTAAATGGGGAAGGAGGATCATCCAGTTATTAAAAATAGTTGAGCCAAAGAGTATGGATAAAGTTTTGCTGACAGCAGCAAAGACTCTTTCTTACAAATGCGGCTCTCTGGATTTTTTTTCTTTTAAGGACAGTGTTGGTTGGGGCTGAAGGGCTGGTTGTTGTTTGGCTGTGTATACTGTGATTGGTGTCTGTCTGATTTTCACAGATGTCATCTGAAATGTGGTCAGATTTCACTTGTTGATGAGCTGAGATGCTGTGATAGTTTCTAACAGATAAGCAGTGCTTTTTAACCTCAAACTGTCTAATTTTCCATAGTTGTATAGGTCAATGTTGTTTCCTGCTGTGTTGCAGCAGTGTAATAACCATAGAATTGTTCAGTTGGAGAAGACTTTTAAGATCATTTTGTCCAGCTGTTAACCTAACTCTACCAAGTCCACTGCTGATGGGAAATTGGAGCTCTGTGTTTGGGAGACAAGGATTAGATTCCTGCTATTGCTCAACTAAGTTAAATTTTTTAATGTTTGTTGTCCAGTTAGTGAAGTGGAGGAATTTGTCATCCCTGGATTTCAGTAAGGCATTTGATACCCTTTCCCCCAGCATTCTGCTGGAGAAGGTGGCAGCTCATGGCCTAGACAGGTGGACTCTTGGCTGGGTTAAAACTGGCTGGATGGCTGAGCCCAGAGAGTTGTGGGGAATGGAGTTAAATCCTGTTGGCGTCCAGTCACAAGCGGTGTCCCTCAGGGCTCAGGTTTGGGAGCAGTCTTGTTTGAGATCTTTATCAATGACCTGGATGAGGGGATTGAATGCACCCTCAGTGACTTTGCAGATGACACAAAATTAAGTGGGAGTGTGGATATGCTGGAGGGTAGGAAGTCTATGCAGAGAGGTCTGGACAGGCTGGGGCAATGGGCTGAGGTCAGTTGGATGAGGTTTAACAAGGCCAAGTGCTGGGTCCTGCACTTGGGTCACAACAACCTCAGGCAAGGCTCCAGGCGTGGGGAGGACTGGCTGGAAACTGCCTGGCAGAAAAGGCCCTGGGGGTGTTGGTGGCCAGGCTGACTGACCATGAGCCAGCCTGTGCCCAGGTGGCTGAGAAGGCTGATGGCATCCTGGCCTGGATCAGAAATGGTGTGAGCAGCAGGAGCAGGGAGGTGATGGAGCCCCTGGACTCGGCACTCATGAGACCTCACCTTGAGTCCTGTGTCCAGGTTTGAGCACCACAATACAGGAAGGACATTGAGGTGCTGGAGCGGGTCCAGAGAAGGGCAACGAGGGTGGTGATGGGGCTGGAAAACATGGCTTATGGAGCCCAACTGAGGGAACTGGGGTGGTTTAGTTTGGAGAAGACTGAGAGGAGACCTTACTTCTCTCTACAACTACCTAGAAGGAGGTTGTAGTGAGGCTGGTGTTGGTCCCTTCTCCCAAATTACTGATAGGATATGGGGAAATGGCCTCAAGTTGCACCAGGGAAGATTTCAATTAGATATTAAGAAGACTTTCATCACTTAAGAAACAAGACAAGTGATAGGACAAGAGGAAATGGTCTCAACTTTCATGAGGGGAGGTTTAGGTTGGCTATTAGGAAAAAAGTCTTCACTGAAAAGATTGTCAAGCATTGGCACAGGCTGCCCAGGGAGGCGATGGAGTCACCATCCCTGGAGAGGTTCAAAAAACGAGTAGATGCAGCACTTGAAGCAGTGGTCTAGTGGTTAGGGAAGTGTTAGAAAGAAGGTTGGACTTGATGGTCCTAGAGGTCCTTTCCAGCCATAGTGATTCTGTGATTCTATGAGTATTTGTGATCGGTGTGAGTATCTGCTGCTGGGAAGCTCTCTCCAGTGCCTAAGTACGTTACAAGATGAAAATTTTGTGGTTGTGCAGAATCTTGTGTTTGATACTGCTGCTGTGAACTTCTGTCATACTAAAAAACAGACTAGAACTCTTTCCTTTCAGAAGCTTGGGCACTGAGGAGCTGCTTTTCAGTTTCAGTTGTGAATTTGAAATTATCTGATCAAAGGTGGTAGTGCCTGCAGTAAAGGATAAACCTTTTTTACATCAACCACTTTCAAGTTATTTATTCCTTTTGTGCCTGTGTTGTGAAACTGTCATTGGGAACTGCTAAAAACAAGATTAAAAACAACCTGCAGTATTTTTGGAAATGTCTCTAGGATTGCAGACATCTTAACGTAAAATACGGTAAAGCTGAGAGACTGGTTTAATAAGGCAGAAAATGAACTGACCTGCTGATAGACGGTTTTCTTTGAAACATTTTATGCACAAAACTTGATTCTAGCACTTCTGTTGACAGCATTTCAACTGCTTTTAATGTACTACTGAAGGAAAACTAGATATTTGGATCACTGAAATATATACTTGAAAATTTTCTACTATTTTTTAATACTTTCTTAGCTATCTCTCCAGCTCATATTAACACAGAGTGAGGTAATAGACCCAGTTTTATAATAGCATTTGCCTTTGTTAAAGGATTGTGTGGCCACCAAACTGAAAATGGAAAGATGCTGGTCATGGGATGTGGTGGAGAGGTTCGCTGTCCTCCACTTGTGGAGTATTTTGACTGCCGGACGCTCTAGATCCCCTAATTCTTGGCGCACTTCTCCTTCACAAGGACATGTACAAAAGTTCTCCTGGATGCCGGCAGGTGCCGCTGTGCTTTGCACTAGTTCTGTGTGCTTGCACCAGAATGATGGGGCCCCTTAAGTTCTTGCTCTTGTGCCTTTCCCTTCCTCTCACCCTCTGCTGGGCTGCTCGTGTATTGCACCCACGTCTGTTCGTGATGTACTTTCAGTTTAGAGTTGCTCTCTTGTCGCTTTCCAGCAGTTTTCCTCCTTGTCTTGGAAAGCAACGTTAATTTTGGTAGTCAGAACCTGTATTCAAGTCAGTGCCTCTGCAGAGGTCACTCAGGCTTCAGGAAGGGATCTTTTTGGTAGTCTTCTCCATCCAGTGAAGAGCTTGTTTGTCCAAAGCTTCTCATACTTGTGCAGTGGAGAAGATTTTATGTGTTAAGACTGCCTGGATTGGACATGGAAATTCATGCTCCCAAAAAATGATGTTTAAGAACAGGAGCATCTCTGCCTGAAAGAGGATGGGAATATATTACTGTGTGGAAATAGTGCAGCAATATGAGCTGACATAAATAAAATATTATTTGAAATGGGCTGACTTTTTTCCTCAGCTGATTAATCTTTAGCTTGTTCTGCTGTCAGTTCCAGGCTGTCATTTGTGGAAGGTTGTTTTATTATGCACTGAAAGAACAAGTGTGCATGTACAGTACTATTGAACTGCTCTTCTGACTTCATGACCAAGCTGCCAATTAGTATTGTACTGTCTGATCGTTACAAGCCGTCTTGTTTCGGTCCAATGCAGAGAAAAGACACTACAGACACAACATATTTTTCATAGTACTTTATTTTTGCCTTTCTTAGTGAGACTAAGTGACTTGAAGACTCTGAGAAGCCTTTTAAAAAGTCATTCAGGCTGAACATCCTGCGTTTCCTTGCCAGCTCTTGCGTTGCGGATGAGAAAAACCTTGCACTAAAAATGCAGATTTCTCAGGCCAACATGCACTTCTGCATATTTGATTCTTCTGAAGCCAAAAATATATTTTTTTTTTCAGCTTTTCAGGATATATAGGTCAACAGTAGAAGAAATTTAACGTGTTCATTTCTTCTGTGCAGATTCAGCGTTGGGCTAAAGTGCTCCAAATGTTGGCAGGCAGTGTGCTGCAGTTGCCTTTCTTAGTGAGACTAAGTGACTTGAAGACTCTGAGAAGCCTTTTAAAAAGTCATTCAGGCTGAACATCCTGCGTTTCCTTGCCAGCTCTTGCGTTGCGGATGAGAAAAACCTTGCACTAAAAATGCAGATTTCTCAGGCCAACATGCACTTCTGCATATTTGATTCTTCTGAAGCCAAAAATATTTTTTTTTCCCAGCTTTTCAGGATATATAGATCAACAGTAGAAGAAATTTAACATGTTCATTTCTTCTGTGCAGATTCAGCATTGGGCTAACGTGCTCCAAATGTTGGCAGGCAGCGTGCTGCAGAACTGCATCAGTCTTGTTCTTTCTGCCTCCTGGTAGCTGGGCTAGTGAGTTTGTGACCTGCAACAATGCATCATTGTTTCTTGTCAAGGTTTTCTGCACGCATGTGGCTGAAACTGCTTCAGAGTTACACTGGTACAATGAATATACATAGGAGAGATGTAGGAAATCTGCATCTGAAACAGTTTTCAGGTTTTCATTTAGTCTTCATCAAAAATGAATGCATATGTTTTATGCGTGAGCTTTAGTGACTCAGTGTGTTAACATGCTCTGTATATTTTATACTTTTTAATTTATGGATATGAGATACAGGGTTTGGTTTTTAGCAATTTCCAAAAAGACCAAATAATGGAAAGTTAGATTTTTCTGGCTTCTCAGAGGACTAAATTCAAGTGTATTTTATTATCTCAAAAACAAAGGCGAATAGTAAAATTTAACGGTAGGGGAAAATTTAACATTTCTAATTCAGTCAGCTGATAACCTTATTCTATGAATCTGTTCTTTATTGCTGCTGGATATTTGACATTTTGAGTAACTTGCTTATTGCTCAGAAGTGTTTGGAAAATTACTGTATGGATGAAAAAATTACTGTGTTGGATTGAAAGCCTCATGCGTGATAAACTGCTGTGACAAAGATGTAACTTTCATTTATATGCTTCATTACTTTGAATATTTTAATGGAAGACATGAAGCTTAGTGGTAATTCCAGTGTTCCCATGTAATGTCAGTGTTGAGTGATAATTTACAGGCAGTGGAGGATAAAAGAGCATGTATTGCTTGAAAGATAAAACTATTAAAGCCATGGCTTTTGACCTACAGTTAATGTCACTGTCAGTATAGATTGCAATTTGAACTAAAGTTTAATTTTAAAGCTTGCTTGAGGAAAGGTGGTGTAGTTTAGGGTGTTGTCAGTGATTCAGTAGGGCAGCCATCACCATGACTAGAGTCTCTGGGAGTTAGTGTGCAGGGTAGAATTGTTTTGGTAGTTATCCTGTGAGTGCTGGTAGAGGTTGTATCAGATGGTGCTTGATTTCGTGGGTGGGTATTACATGGTCATCATTTTATTCTTGGCCTAGATCAGGTGCATGCTGACTGAACTGTGCTTCCTACCCTTGATCCGAGGCTTGCACAGAAGTGGGAGGCTTTGTGCTAATGGGTAATTGTAATCTGCTGGGAACAACTGGCTTTGCTCTCACTTTTCCTGGAACATGCTCCCTGCCACCCCCTGGCCTTTCCTGCTGTTGTTCTCACTTCTTGGTTTAATCTGGTGCAAGGCCCACAGTGACAGAACAGAGATTAGAGACATCTGCAGCTTCTATTTTTCTCACTCTGAGGTTAAACAATATCAAGGGAGTTAGACTGAAATGGGACCTAAACCTTATTTGGGAATTTGGGATATTGCATGTGTTCTTGTATTTGAAAGAATTCAGGGTGTGTTGCCTTTTCTCCAGCTAAAGACCAAGGCATTTGGCATAGATCCTTCAGTCTTGCTGCCGTACAGGCTGTACACAGGAAGTCCCCTAACTAGGCAACAGTACCAGTGCAGTGGTTTTGTTTTTGGAGATGTTGTCAGAGTATTTCCAGGCATCTCAGCCTGAGGTTCTGAGGTCGGTTGGCTTTGATGCAGCTAAACCCAATGGGTTATGTTGTAAAGATGACTGCTCTTAGTCCATAATCTTGCTGGAATTTGCTGCAGGTTTGGGGGTGTTTTTTTTGCTTCAGCCTTACCAGTGCTCTGTTGTCACTGGTTTTGACACCAAATAAAATGAAAGCTTCACTAAGAATGGAATAATTACAATTTTATTTAGTCTTATCCTAACCCTGATAAAATGCTGTTACATGCAATTTCGCCGTAGTTACAGTATTGCTGCCATGGAAATGTCCTTTGTATTTCTGAGCAACAGAAAGGGGCCAGGGGTGATAGATAAACAGGGCAAGATGTGCTGTGGAAGCTTGTCAGGCCAAGCTGGTGTCCTTGTCTGGACTGGGAGGGAAGGCTCTTGTGGGTATTGGAGGGAACCAGCCATTGTGAATTGTTGCACTGGGGGAGAGTGAAGCAGTGAGGGGGTGGAGTGTGAATTGGGGGGGAGTCTGAGAGACAGCTCTTCTATTACCTTGTCTTTTACTGCTCTTCTGTCATGATCCAAAAAGATTTCCTTATGTATAGGTCTGACCTTCTGATGGCACTCTGCTTTTCTCCCATGATTGCTGACTGCAGTGTAGAGCAGCTGTGGGTGCTGGGGTCTTTGGGGACTGTCTTGGGCAAGGTTACAGGATAACTTAGGGAAACTTGCATATATAGGCTGCAGTGGTGATGATTAGATGGGAGACTTCCTTTTCTCAAGCTCAGACAGCATTCCAGAGAACAACTGTATAACTGCTTCATTGGATGCTATTTAAAATGTGACATTTATCCAGGGAAGTGTTGAGCTGTGAATTCTGTTAAATGACAGTAAGATACAACGGAACAGAACATGCTACCCTTTCTGTGCTAGCACAGCAGTACAGTTTCACCTTATCAGACTGACATTACCCTGTTATCTTCCCATTCTGTATCACAGTGGCATTTAGTCAGGCTCTTAAAATAACACGAGGGGTATTGTTGATGTTGATAACTGACTTCTGACTCCTTCCAACAGTGCGGGGATCAAAACCAGGCAAAAATGTTCAACTTCAAGAGAATGAAATTAGAGGATTGTGCTTGAAATCCAGAGAAATCTTTCTGAGTCAGCCTATTCTGCTAGAACTTGAAGCTCCACTGAAAATCTGTGGTGAGTACCATGATTTTGATTTGGTGCTGGGAGCGAGGGTGTGGGGAAAATGCAGAGCTTAAGCAGAGAACAAATGCCAGATGCTACTTTTGCTAACAGGGGAAGTAAGAAATGATTGTAGCAAAAGGGAAAATAAAACCCTGCTGGATGCCTAAGGTGGAGGGGTGTAGAGGACATAACAAACATGGGAGTTGGAATAGAGACCAGAATAATCCAAACCCAAAAATTAACTGGTCTAGTTTCACCAGGTCTTTTGGGGAAGTTTTGGAAAGGAGGTTCTGTCATTGAAATAATGTTTGGCCCAGGCATAACTGAAGGAGGGGAAACAAAGGAGAACTGCAGTAGTTTGCTGCAGCTGCTATTCAGAGTTGAGTAGTTTGACAATATTTTAAAATGCTGCTGGAAACAAATTTTTATTCTGTTTGTTGGAATTTCTAGGTTGGTTTTGCCATACTTGTACACAGTGGTGCTTGTTTTGCACACACATACATGTCTGGTCGTGCTAATAGAATGAAGAATGCTGAAATAAAAGCCTCAATAAATGCACTTTTAAAAGCTGCCAGCAAGCAGCATTTTTATCCTGCTCTAACACTGAGAAAGTAGCTTGTTCAATATTTATGACATTGGTAGTTATAAAATCATGATTTAGCATTCTGCTTGTCAGAAATAAAGCTGTGGTGTAAAGCAAAGGCAGAAATATCCATCCCAGTTCCAGTGCAGCCTCACTGCTAGAAGTTGCATTACCAAGTGGTTGGAGAAGATGGTACAAAGGAGGAGAGCACATTCCAGGTGGTCAGTTTTCCATCAATATCACTAATGCTGTGTGGAAAAACCACGAGTGAGGTAAAAGTTCTGACCTCACAGCTACCAGTCCAGTAAAGTATTTAAGTGGATGTTTGATGTTGAACACAAAGTTGGTTTCTTGGAATCTTGATTTTGTTCCACATGTGTGTGAATATTGAGTAGCTGTGTGCTTTGTGCAGTTAACCATTGCATTACACAGATGTCAAACTTCAGAATCTTGTAATTTTATGTGCATTAAGCTAAACTGTAATTAAGTATGTTGTAGGCAATACCTAACTGCAGGCTTTTTTCTATTTGAAGCATGATTCATCTATTCTTTCTCCAGAATCAATTCAGGAATGTAGCAGAGGGTCCCCAATGTCATTTCTGAATGCTCTTTGCAGGTGACATCCATGGACAGTACTATGACTTGCTTCGACTCTTCGAATATGGAGGGTTTCCACCAGAAAGCAACTACCTGTTCCTTGGTGACTATGTTGACAGAGGAAAACAGTCTTTAGAAACAATTTGTCTTCTATTGGCCTACAAAATTAAATACCCTGAGAATTTTTTCCTCCTCAGAGGGAACCATGAATGTGCCAGCATCAACAGAATTTATGGGTTTTATGATGAATGTAAGTAACAGACGTGTGTGTGCCTTTGGCTTGGGAGGGCATGGCAGGAGGTGCTCGTGTTGTGATGTTAGAGGGGTCTCTCCTCACTTGTAGTTCCCTTGGCGTGCTTCAGGAGGGTCCTTGGCCTGTATTAGGAAGGGAAGTGTCACCTTTCCCTCATCCTTGTGGAGCCTGAGCCTGGCAGTACAAACCCCCATGCAAGTGGGTGATGTTTTTTATTGGCTGCTCTGTTAATTAACCATTCTTATTGGTACACATTTTACAGTTCTTGAGATAAGCTTGTCTGTTCAGAGACTACTACTAGATGTGCTTTACAAAAGTTCCCCTCTATTTCTTTCATCCAAGGGATGATGACAAAGATGTAAGCTTGTGTCAAACTTGGAGAATGGGCTGCTTCTCACCGTGGTTACATTACAGGGCTTGCAGTCTACTTCAGATTAAGATCTGTACCTTTGAAATGTTAAAAGAACAACAAACTTTGCTGTTCTGGATGCAGTCCTGATCCGCTGCATGCTGCTGCTTTGGCCAAAACTGAGATTCCCTTTGTGTCAAACTTGGAGAATGGGCTGCTTCTCACCGTGGTTACATTACAGGGCTTGCAGTCTACTTCAGATTAAGATCTGTACCTTTGAAATGTTAAAAGAACAACAAACTTTGCTGTTCTGGATGCAGTCCTGATCCGCTGCATGCTGCTTTGGCCAAAACCAAGATTCCCTTTCATAAATGGGGCACAGTGAGTGTGAGCCTTTGGCATGTGTGCTTAAGCACCAGCCACGTGCTCCTGCAGTAGGTGGCTTCAGCTGCAGAAGGTGTTACTTGAGCCAGTATGTCAGCCTTTTAATGGAGAAATGTGCTGGTATCTCTTGGGCATTCTGAGCAGATGTGGTGTCACTGTGTGGTTTTTGGAGACTGGACGTAGAGCTCACCCTAACACTACACAGTTCTGCTGTGGAGCAGGAGTGCACCTTCATGTGTCAAAGGATGCACCTTAATAAACCCAGATAACGTAGAGGAGTTTGAACTGTTAAATTAATGGTGTGCTGAAGCGTCCTCCCAACTTGTGTTGGGAGACATACTTGTCTTGTAGCTCCCAAGATGTACTCTCCATGTCTTGTTCTCCTTCAGAAGGAGACAAAGATGTCTGGTATTTCAGAGCTGACTCCTCCGAGATTAATCACGGGCTTAGTCATATGTCGCAAATGTGTTCAGGGTTCGTGTCAGCTGGAAGAGTCCCTTTGAAAGTAAAACTGCAGCAGTTTCAGTTTTCAGTCCTGTTTCTGGGCCTAGAGAGACTTCAGGTGGTAAAGCACCAGCAGAAGTTTAAAGAAAATCTGCTTTCCAAGAACTGCAGTCTTGCCCTGAAGAAAACAGCAAATGACAATTTTCTGTAACTAATCAAATTCTGCAAGGGATAATTTTTGAAAGCAAAGTTGGGACTGGAGAGACTTGTGCTATTCTCAGAGCACCAGAGCCCTTTGCAGCTTTCTTCTGAGCAGTAAAGTATCTCAGCAGCTTTTGGAGAAGATAAACTGTGTATAGGCTTTAATGCTTGTGCTTTCCAAATCTTGTAAACTTAAGGAGCTGTGTTAGGTTGGTTGTAGTTGTGCTAGAAAAGCATATTGACTGTTTTTTCCTCCCAAATGTCTTCTAGGTAAGAGAAGATATAACATCAAGCTGTGGAAAACCTTCACAGACTGTTTTAACTGCTTACCAATTGCAGCCATTGTGGATGAGAAGATATTCTGCTGTCATGGGGGTAAGTGATGGCTCCTTAGCTGAGGTTCCTAAGCTGTAATGCTCTAGTGTCCAGCATGGCAATTTCATGGCTGTGTTGCTGAAGTTTCAAAACTTCAGGGATTTTTCTGTGCCTCAGTTCACGTACTGAGGTGGGGTTGAGCTTGATTAGTGTTGGTTCTGTGAATCATTGAGCTGGTAGCTTAGTGAGGTCTCATTGATCTGGTTTTCCTTCTACTCCAAAAGGCTTACTTGATAGCCTCTCCTTAGGAGTGAAGAATCCTTGTAGGTTTTTTTAGACTTCCATGAGTTAGGAATTTCATGCATGTTCTGAAAACACAGAAGCATAGAATGGTTTGGGTTGGAAGGCACCATTGCAGGTTGCTCAGTAGAATCCCCCCACTGCAGGGTAGGGTGGCTTCCACCAAATGAAGCTGCTCAGAGCCTTGCCCAGGCTGGTGGGTTTGGAATTTTGCTGGTAGGAACTGGCTCTATGCAGTGGGTTACCTGCTCGTGCAGCTTTTCAAAGTAATACAGCACATATCACACCTTAAATGCTTTATCACGTTTACTTGCAAGCAATTACAGTTGCCCAGGGAGACATATCAGTGAAAAATGGTATGAGGTCTGTTTGATATTGCAGTTCATCTCCCCAGGCCTGATCAATACAATAAACATAGCCTGTGATTTCTGGTGTTAATGCCTTTTCTACTTAACAGCATTTTCAACAGACACTTGCTGAATGTTACAGCGAGATTATTGTAATCCTGTAAAACGTGGCAATGGCTTTGCTTATCTTGCTTTCCCTAAGTCTTCTGGAAAGTGACTTGTCTCCTCCTGTTACAAAAGCTTTAAAACAAATGCTGGATTAAAAAAAAATGTCAGTTAGCATTGCTGTTGGACTACACAGACTGGCAGTGGTGACTCGGGTGGAATGCACATGATTTTTGTCTTGAGTTCAGGCCTGAGTCCTGTAGAGCACAGCTGGACTGAAGTGTGAACTGTCTCCACTCTGCACAGGCTTGTCACCAGACCTGCAGTCGATGGAGCAGATCAGGCGAATCATGCGCCCCACGGATGTACCAGATCAAGGTCTGCTCTGTGACCTCCTGTGGTCTGACCCTGACAAGGATGTCCTGGGCTGGGGTGAAAACGACAGAGGAGTGTCCTTCACGTTTGGTGCTGAAGTGGTTGCTAAGTTTCTCCATAAACATGATTTGGATCTCATATGTAGAGCTCATCAGGTATTTCAATTTTGTCCATTAAATCACAGAACAGCTTGGGTTCAGAGGGGCCTGAGGTGGTCACCTGGTCCTGCCCCACACACTCAGCACAGGATGAGCTGGTGGTGTAAGCTGCACTTGCTGAGGATGCTGTCCAGCCTCCTTCTGAATATCTGTGAGGGTTGAGATCCCACCATTTAAGAACAACTTGTCCAGTGTTTAACAACTCTTGTAATAAGCATGTTTTTTTCCTTAGTACATATAAACTGTCACACTGATTCCTGATTCCAACAAGCTTGTCTTGAACCTGGTGGAATCCTGGTTTCCTCTGTGCTGAACTGGATCCTGCAGTGGTCTTCCTGTTCTGGTGTAGAAGTCTGGAACTCGTGCTCCTCGGATGCAGCCAGTTTTTCAGCTGCTGGGTCTGTTAAAGCTGCTTTGCACCTTGGCAGGAAGAAGTTGTCCCATCTGATATTTCTGCTCTTCTCTTTAAAGGTTGTTGAAGATGGATACGAGTTTTTTGCAAAAAGGCAGTTGGTAACTCTCTTCTCTGCCCCAAATTACTGTGGAGAATTTGATAACGCGGGTGCCATGATGAGTGTGGATGAGACTCTAATGTGCTCTTTTCAGGTACAGTGTCTGAAGATTTTACCTCCTAGTCTGGTCACACTTCAAATTTGCTCTGTTTTGAAAGGGTACCTTACAGTTACAAAACCAGAATGCTTGTTTCAGGTAGATCTTTGCAGGTAGCAAATGGAGACAGGGCTGTGTTTGCTCTTGGGTGTTCAAAAGCATGGGAGGAACTGAGCTGTTGTGCCCTGGAATTCAGTTGTCCAGGCAGCACTTTTGGCTGTTCACCAGCTTGCCAGCCAGCCACACAAGCCCTGTCCTAGCTCCAAGCAGGAACCACGCTGGTTTCCTGGCATGTTCATGACCTGTCCGGGTGACCTGTCTAATGCCTTTACCACAGAATTGCTTGCCAATGAAGCCAGGACTTCTTGCTAAATGACCAAACTATCTTTTCAGATTTTGAAACCTGCAGAGAAGAAGAAGCCCAATTCCAGCAGACCTGTAACACCTCCCAGGGGTATGATCACAAAACAAGCCAAGAAATAGTCACCCTGGCGCCGCCTTGATGGGACTTGTATTATAGTCTGTAACCTCCATTTTTAAACCTGTCGTGTACTGTTCAGCTTGCTCAAAATAGATAAACGTGTTTGTGGTTTTCCTTTTGATTGAATGAATGGCATTTGCTGGTTGTAACAGCGAATGAAAGACTTTCCTCCCTCCCAGGAAGAGAGCTGGAAAGTCCCCCTCCGTCGGTGTCCCAGCCGTACCCTGACACATCTCACCCTCTCTGGGGAACCGTACAGCCTCGTGGCCTGTACCAGGAGTAGTGTCTGCTTGTTTTCTTCTTTAGGATCTAAAGAGGGCACTCGTGTGCTGTGAGTAGGGGTTTGTTCCTGTGGGAAATGACATACTGTTTATACAAACCACTGTGAACTTTTTTTACGTTCAATTGTTTTAAAGGGATCGCTTTTCTTTTAATGTCTCCTGTACACATTAGTTTTATTGCTGTTGACCTTAGAAACAACCTCCCGCCCTGCCAGCCTCACCGGGATGATGTATATTTAATTCAGACACCCTCCCCTCTCCCTAGACTTCCACTGACGATTAAAGCCATTATTTTAAGTGTTTGTGTCTCTTTCCTGAAGCCAAAGTTCGCTTAGAAACCTGGCACAGGACCCGTGTGTGGTGCTGGAGTGTCCCACTGGGTGCTGGGGGCAGCACTGCCCTGGTGCTCTCCTGGGCACCCTGGTGCCTGGTGTGGGTCCCACCCGGCCCCCGTGGGACAGCTGGAAGGGGCAGGAATGGTTCTGGATCTGCCCGAAGGGTTTTGTGCATTTTAGCCTAAAGACTTTGTTCTACAAAAACTAGAAGCTAGCTTGGTAAGCTGACCCAGGGTGTTGGTCTCCATCGCCGGTTTATATAAATCTCTCACAGAATTGTGTTTTTTAAACTGTTTAATCTTTTTTGAACGGATGACAGTGTACAATACCATGTAGTGAAAATCACTTATTAAATGAAGAAATTGGTAAATCCTCTCTGTGTCAGTTTATCACAACATACACACCACTGCTCTCAAAGAACCTGACCTAGACAAATAAATTGTTCTGGAAACCCACGGTTTGTGGTTTGGATTTGTCTAAGTGACAGGTGCTGTTTCTAAGCAGGAGTTGCTGGGTCCTGATCCAGTTCTGGAGCTTTAATTGTTGAGGGAGACAATTCTGCCCCTCAGTTCTCCAGAGCGCCCAACACAAGGACATGGGGCTGTTGGAGCAGGGACAGAGGAGGCCACAAAGATGGAACACTGCTCTGGGGAGAAGGCTCTAGGCAGGCTCTATTGTAGCCTAGGAGAAAGCTGGGGAGGGAATTTTTACAAGGGCTTGCAGAGCTAGGACAAGGGGCTTCAAAATGGAAGAGGGGAGATTGAGGTTGGATGTAAGAAGCTCTTCATGGTGAGGGTGGTGACAGGTTGCTCAGGGAACTGTGGATGCTCCATCACTGGAGCTGTTCAAGACCAGCTTGGATGGGGCTTTGAGCAACCTGCTCTAGTGGGAGGTGTCCCTGCCCATGGCAGGGGGGTGGGAACAAGTTGGTCTTTGATATCCCAACCTAAACCATTCTGTGGTTATACTGCCATTCAGTGCACACCCCATTGAGCTGGGGGTGTGGGCAAGGAGCCCTGTGGGGTCACAAGGCAGAAGCTGCTCCAGAAGGGCTGCAGTGAGGAGCTCCTGGTGCTGGGTGGAGGTGGGTTATGAGGGAGTTTCATTCGGGTAACCCACTGGCTCTCTTCTGGGTGAGTTTCCCCCTCCAAGTGCATGGAGCTTTTCTGCTTGGAATGCATCTTCTGGGTAGTCCCCAGCCATGATTTGGGATTTTAATGTATCTCTCTGCCAAGTCAAGAGCCATTTTCCTTCTCTGAAGACTCCCCTCCAAGTGCATGGAGCTTTTCTGCCTGGAATGCATCTTCTGGGCAGTCCCCAGCCATGATTTGGGCTTTCAATGTGTTTCTCTGCCAAGTCAAAGAGCCATTTTCCTACTCTGAAGACCTCTTCCCTCTAAAGCTCATTAACCAAACCCCCTCTTGGTAACTTTTGATGAGCTCATTAGATGAGGTGTCAGAGATTGCTTGTGAAAGGCTTTCTCACAAACTAACTTTCCCCTTTTTGATCACATGGTTTTCTTTAGCTCTGATTTTTCTCCCTCATAAAACAGTCACCTGCATGTCTGATACTGATCCAGTGCATGACAGAGCACACGTAGAAATGGTTCTTGCTTGTCTGCTGTCTAGAGGAGCCCATGAGCCCGCGCCCCCACCTCCCAGACATCTCACCTCTCACGCCTTTTTCCTCCGTGACTTGTTTTCCTCTCCCCAGAGGTGGTTCTGGTGACACACACACCTATTCTGGGCTGCCTGTTCTGCTCGGCTGCACCCCCGGGGGGGTTCACATGCCCTGGGCTGCTCAGCTGCCGGGTGAGGGAGGTGGAGGGGAGGGGAGGCTCCTGCTCCAGCGCAGAGCCCGGGAGGGAAGAAGAGCTGCTGATCTTACCAAGGGTTGTGTTTAAAAGCGCAGAGGTGTTTTATGCCCATTGCGTGGGGTTGGGGTTTTCAATCAGTGGAAGGACAGAAGGAGCAGCAGCTGCCTGTTTCAGTTTTCCATAACTGTACTTGTAGAACATTCAAAGGCAATGAAGCTGGGGAGGGGTCTAGAGCACAAGTCTGATGAGAAGTGGCTGAGGGAGCTGGGGGTGCTGAGCCTGGAGCAAAGGAGGCTCAGGGGAGACCTTCTGGCTCTGCACAGCTCCTGACAGGAGCCTGGAGCCGGGGG